CACTCCACTCCACTCCACTCACTCCACTCACTCCACTCCACTCCACTCACTCACTCCACTCCATCACTCAACTCCACTCCACTCACTCACTCCACTCCACTCACTCACTCCACTCACTCCACTCACTCCACTCACTCCACTCACTCCAACTCAACTCAACTCAACTCAACTCAACTCAACTCAACTCAACTCAACTCAACTCAACTCCACTCCACTCCACTCCACTCCACTCCACTCCACTCCACTCCACTCCACTCCACTCCACTCCACTCCACTCACTCACTCACTCACTCACTCACTCACTCACTCACTCACTCACTCGCTCACTCACTCACTCAGGCAGGCGCAGTGCAGAGAGCTTGCCTTTTGCGTGGCAGACGCACTACACAGAGCCTCCTGGCGGAGCTGCGGGGCGCCTGGCCGCCGCTGGGGCCGCGGCTGCCTTTGGCGTGGCAGGCGCAGTACACAGAGCCTCCTGGACGAGCTGCGGCGCGCGTGGCCGCCGCTGGGGCCGCGGCTGCCTTTGGCGTGGCCCACCACCACCGAGAATTATCACCCCAGAAGAGTAGATAATTGCAACTGAGAATGTGGACAACTCTGCTTGACAACTCACGCCCTTTTTGTCTCACTGTGCTAGCAGAATTTACGCCTCCTAATCTTGAGCCAACATGTTGTTGGCGGAATGCTGATCTCATTGATCAAAGGAAGCACGATGCGGCTGAGCATGTTCACAATGCTGTGGCAACAGGGAGAGCTGAAAGCTTGGTTGCGGTCAAATTCTCTAATTGTTTCCAAACTCACATTCGGTTCAGACGTCATGTCTGCTTACTCTAGTTCGGAAAAAAAACTCTTGCAAATTTGCACGGCTCTCAAATTGGAAATGTGATCAAAAGCGGTTCAAAAACTTCGATCTCACAGATTGCTTGGACCCAGGAAACGCAAGACAATAGGAGATCATCAGGATGTTCAAAAAAGTCTCAACCGTGGAAACGTCGCAAAACGATTTCTGAGAAGCTTCAAACTCATAAGCTGTACCGCAGCTGATTATAAATTCCTCTTTCGCACGTCTAAATGTTTCTCCAAAATTGAAATCACTGTGTGAATTCCGCGTTCGAAATCTCAATGCTCTGTCAAAGATTGAAATCACTGTTCCGCGTTCGAAATCTGAACGCGCTGTCAGGAAAGTTGGAAATCAAGCTCTAAACTGCATACGACTTGCTCAAATCGCACAAAACGTGTCACATGCTATGCAGCAAAAGACACTTTCACAAATCTCTGAAATCACTTGAAAAATTCGGAGAAAATTATTCCAAGCTGGCAATGCAAGCTGAATGGCACAGGATGAGTTTACAGCATCATCAAGCAAGTTCAGCTTACTGTCTTGGAGGAGGTTGTAAAGAGTTTTGAGGTGTTCGGAGGAGCGCTCAAAGGGATTGATGGCATGCTGAAAACAAGCAAATCTCTAGATCCAAGTGTCATACTTAGATGGCTGTCGCTTTGCTCAGGGTATGATTTGATATAGTATCACGTGAAGTCAAATAGACTTGAAGACTTTGCTAAAAGCAAGTTTGTTTTCATGTTTTGTTGGGGCAACATTTGCTTGTAGCTTGTAGCAAGTGATTAGTGATTGGTTGAGAGTCCGCCAGCGACCAAACAATGAATACGCATCGAAAGAGGTGTATGACATTCGCACCCCCTTTCGCTGGCTGAATCTCAATTGCATGGCCCATCGGCTCATCATCTCACTGAAAATCGCACGTCCAGGCCTGATCGGGCTCTGGCAGCTAGCTTGGCATCTCTGTTTTTTTTTTTTTTCGGAGCTTATCCCAGGCAGGAAAGAATGGAGAAAACAACGACGGTTCAAACTGGGTTCTCAAGCAGTTTCTTCATGGAATATCGGATTTCTGTCATGCCAGGCTCGAAAAACCGGTATGCTGGGAGTGTGGACTTGGCCATGTCCTTGCCAATGTAAACATCTCGATAGGCCTGAGCGATGATGCTACACATCGAAGCAGGATAATGGCTTACTTTGTCCCAATTGACTGCATTGAATGCAACGTGACTTTCACAATTGCACTCTGTGTGATTTGCCAACGATCTGGCTAAACTTGGATGGGTTCCCAACCACAAGAAAATCTTTCCAACCTTAGGATCTGTTTCAGGAAAACCGCAAAGCCGAGGGAACTGTGCATAGATATGGCGACCTACTTTCACAAAGAAATCTGCCATGAACTTACTGTTCCAATACCTATTTCTCTTGGGTAGCTCGAAAGTGAACTCATCTGCTGCAACGGCGAGGCTTTGGCTCAGTTTCAAAATTTGTTCCAACTCAGAAACTTGCGTTGATTCAGTGGGCTCGGCATCTGCTGGGATATATTCAGTCGTGTCTGAATGTCCTGAAGGCTGAAGGGAGAAATGCACATAAACAGGCTTACCTTTCTTTGAAAATCGCTGCACAAGATCACTGAGCTGGGCATGAAACATTGTGAAATCTGCCCTTGTGGAAACTCGGACGACTGCCATTTGAATGTCTCCACAAAAACTGGCTTGAATCGACTCGGTTAAATTGCTGTTCACACCGCAACATATTTCCAAGAAGATCCCTGAAAACTTACTAGGCGACAATTCCGGTAAATTGGCTTCTTGTGTTTCTAAGATCAAGCTCAATGGTTGTGAAGCAAACTGTGATGGATCTGATTTCTGGGCGTCTGGCACAAAGACTGTGGAAGCAAGCGCGTGCTCTTCATCTTGGGAGTTCGACTCCAAAGACTGAACATTCACTGACTCCGGCCTACCCCCATACAAAATGCTTTGGATTTGATTCGTCTTTCCTTTCTTCTTTTTGGCTGTCTTCTTTGTTTGGGATTCAGATTGTTGGTCTGCCAGTTTGGCTGGAAGTTCTGCTGATTCAATGAATCCCATTGATGTCCTGAATTTCAAAAACAGCTTCATTCCTAAACACTTGGTCAAAATATCTGCAATTTGCTGTGAACCCTCGACCCATGTGAGAATGATGGTTCTTCTTCGGACCATCTCTTGGCAGAAACAAATTCTCAACTCAACATGGCGACTGCGTCTTTGGAGCCCTGGTGAGGTCAGGACTCGGATGGCTGCTTGGGAATCACAACGGACTTCCACCTCAATGGCTGTGGCATGTTCAAGGTCTTCATCAACTAATCCAAAAATCAGGGAGTTTGCAAGACTGTGTATTCGATCTGAAGCTTGAAAACTTTCATGGATGTTGGTCACACGCGCGTGAGTTTCTAGAAAAAGATGCTCAGAGATACGCTTGATTCCCATGCTCTCTTGAAAGGATTCAGCTAATGCTGACAGTTCCGACTCGCAACTTGAAAGTGCGACCACTTGTTGCAATCTTGTGAAAGCTTTGATGATGGACCCGCGATAAAAAACACACGCGCCAGAAATTGATCTACGCTTGAGAAAGCGCATTGGGGCCCAGCTGGCATCACAGTAGATTACCAAGCGTTGCGCTTCTTGTTCCTCGATGGTTGCTTCGGGAGATGGGAATCTCTGGTAAATGCCTCTTTGGCTTTTCATGAATTTCAACACTGATCTCAAAGCCTTTTCATGGCGATCTTGCGGTGTGGCCATGCCTGTGGCTAGCAAAGCTATGTATACATTGATGAAAACATATGTTTGGGACATCCAGGACAGTTTGCCTAAGGCTGCTCTGTACCGCATGGCCGCATCTGGGGATAATTCATCAGACTTGGAACTGTCTTCAAGTATCGGTCGAAGATCTGGAGGATTTATACTGGCAGTGCTGATGCTGTAGGCCTCAAACATACCATCTAAATAGTTTTCATCCAGACTGATGGTAATCTCTTTGCTGTTGGATTTTCTTTCGATGTTGCGGCCAAGAAAACGCAAACTGCCACCCCCTTCAAAACTTCGCTCTATAAGCCCCGTGCGTTTTACTTTTAGGTGTAGGGCCAAATGGTCTTGAACGGCAACTGCAAATACCTTACTCGGGGCAAACACGAGCAGATCATCAACGTATGCAACTACTTGCACCCATGCCTTTCCATGCCCTTTGACTGAAACCTCTCCAGAAAAAACAGTTGTTTCAATCAAAGACGGTTTGATTCCTAACTCTTGCAGCAAGTGGCTTAAGTGTTCTACCCAAGCCAAACCGCTTGTTCTCAAGCCATTTATGGCCTTGAATGCTTCGAGGAATATCGGGCTACCATCTGGAAACTGCATAGTATTTGGTGGCATCTTCAGAATGACTTTGATGGGTTTGCCAAGACGCCGGCCTAGAGGAGAAGCCATGAATGCAGCACTGATGTCCAGGCCTAGAATCACCAGGTCCAGGACTGCTGCTTCTGCAATGAGGATTCTCAAAGATTCAATGCTGGAAGTAGGCGAAGAAACCATGAGGTCACGGGCAGAACTCTTTCCTTTTGCCATTTCCCGTGCAACTAGTCGCATGCGAACATTCAAGGGATCTTTCTCAACACAAACCCATCGGCAAGTGATTATACTAATCTGCCATTGCTTGGCAAGACGCTGGGCTTCCTGCTCATGGATTGGTCTGCCAACCTTCTGACTGGTCATGGAATCGATTTCAGTGCGCATCCCTGCATACGCAAGGTCTTTGTCGAGATATTGGCCATTGGCGTCACTGATGACATATCCAGGAAACAAAAGTAAAATTTCTTCCCCACAAAGGTTTGCCTTGCTGCTCTTGGGTTTCACTCCGCGGATCTGATAAACCGATTGCAACATGCCAATGTGACGCTCTTCTAAATACGAAAGCTCAAAGTTATCCAAGGCTGTTACCAAATCTAACTCCATAGCTTCCGTGGCTGTAGGTTCGCCTCCAGCAGCTGCAAATTCACTTAGATCTACCATTCCGTCAGCAGAGTCGTCTACTTCCATGTCATGGATGACTTCTGGCTCGTCCAACGCCTTTGGAGAACTGGGTGCAAGGCTGGGCGAATATGGAACATCATGTGGATTCTCATCGAGATGTTGACCCCCTTCAACTGGGAGACTTTCTGGTATGGGTTGATTCTTTGGAAGATCAAACGAAACTCGTTTCTCTCTGTTTGCTGGAAAGTCTGGAAACCTCTGCTGGATGGGTTCATCAGCTTCACCCAGGCCTGGCGGTGGCTTCTGCTTGCCACTCAAACGTCGCACCTGGCTGCCATCGGCTGCCAAAACAGGACCCTGAGACATATTGAGATCAGACATGGGATCTGATCGTCTCCTCAACCACTCAATATATCTGTCTATACATTTTCTATTGTGCTTCAGTCCGTGGAAACTCTGATGGCGCGCACAAACACTACAACCTTTAGTACGTCCATGCTCATGAATCCAGGATGAAGGAACATTCTTAACGTTTGAATATTCCACAGGCTCGATAATCCTAGAGGGCAGAGGTTCAGACATCTTTGCGGAGAGATCTTCAATGGAAACATCAGGCTGCATCCGGTCGAAAAAATGCAAAACAGATGGAGACAAGGAGACGTCCCACTCCAATGGGGAAACAATCTTAAAGCTCTTGCAAACAAAGAAACGTTCTTGCCCTCCAATGACAGTACAAACGACATCCCCCAATGAGTTGAACTCAGGTCGCAAATACGTTGCCTTCTCAAATCGGGAAATGCAATCTTTCTTCAAGCTAGCTGGCACCTCTGCAAGGACAAGACTGCCAAACATGGTTGTTTTCCGGGCCGTCTCCCGACCAAGTGCAAGTGACTTTGGACTTTGTTTTGTATCTAACTAACATGAAAAATAATTGGAGCAATGACATAAATATGCCAAAGCGGCATTCACAGCTGTCTGATTCCTGACGCAAACATCACAGCCATTCTCACGCAAGTCTTGCCGAAGAGTGTTGAACGCATCTTTAATGGCTCGGACTCCAGCCTCTGCTCCACCAATGGTCTGGTGACCTTGCGGCGGCGCTTTGACAAATGAAGCTGGCATGTGGTTGATGGCACCTTTCATGAAACTTGAAACAGCTTCTTCTGCGTCCGTGATAATTTCAATTGGCTCGGGGCATTCTGTGGACATATTGAATTCGCCAAGCCAGGCCTGTATCCATCGGTGCGACAAACGAATGTCCGACTGGACAGGGGCCACGCCTTTCATTCCAGTGGTCAAATCTACCATGATTAGATACTTGAAAGACTCTTTGTTTGCTTTATCCAAGTTCAAGAAGAAAAAATCACATGCCATCTCACTGCTCAACACCGACTTCTTCTTTCTTCTGTGGTGAGTCGTGGACTTGGCTGCTTGGCAAGAAAGGCAATCTGCATGGAATGGAAAATGGCCTTGACGGCGGTGTTGTTCAAGCTTGGATTTATTCAAGTCTCGTTTTCGCAATACAGCTGGATGCTCTGAAGACTCTTCTGAAGGAATGGATGCAATCCTGTGTTTGTGTCTACAATCATATTGGGCTCATAATCAAAAGGCTCGCTCGAATCCGGAACAGAGTTAGGCTCCACACTGAGGCTTTCACGGTATGGAGATTCACTATCGGAAACAGGCCTACTACTAACATATGCTGGGCTAGAAGAGGATGCAGCAGCGGGGTCAAGTTCTTCCAATGAAACATCTGGCTGTCTCTTGGCTGTCATCAACATGGATTTGTCAGTTTCGCTCAAATGCTCAACCGTGTTCACCGGACCATCATGGATTTTCCGACGGCTCCAAAATGTCTTCTGCAAATCGCGATCATCGGAAAAGTCCATGACCGTCTCAACTTCGTGAAAAATCCATGGCACATTCTGCCATGTCACCAAGTCCAAATTGTATCCTCCAAAGCACACTTCCAATTCACTTCCGGAACTGCTTAATGACCAACCCTTTCGCAGCAAGCTGCCCACTGACAAAACATTATTGGGAACATCTGCTACAAAAGCTGAAGCTAAGCACTCTTTCAACATGGTGTCTGAAGGATCTTCTCTGGACGTCAAGCGGAAAAATGCTTTCAAGCAAACAAGGGAAGTTGGATGAATTGTCTCACCGCTTGCCGATGAAAACCCAGGGCCGGTTGCTGGTCCCAGCACTTGATTCTTTACTACTTCATAGTGTTTCAGGAAGCGAGAACTCACAACAGAGGCTGATGCTCCTGAATCAATGAGCCACCAGTGCAAATCTGATGGGACATCTGGCATCATTGGCATGAAAACTGCAGCTGACATGGTACAAACATGCTTGGTTTTACTCCACAAATCTGGTGGGTTTCCAAAACATGAAAAATCAAAATCAGAAGAAAATTGTTCCTCCATGAGAAATGATCCGTGGACCAAATCGAACTGCTCTTCTGTGATCTGCTCTCGCTCAAACTGCACGATCGTGTCTTCAAACCAAGACTGAGTAGGCAAAATGGGATTCAAAGGGGCTGCTGCTTGCTTCGCAGCTGACGCACGGCTGCCATCTCCATTGGAACCCTGACTTTCAGCTGGACCATTGGTAGGCCACGATTCGCCTTCAGGCTGCTCAAGCATTTCATTGACTTTCTTA